TAACCCTAACCCTAACCCTAACCCTAACCCTAACCCTAACCCTAACCCTAACCCTAACCCTAACCCTAACCCTAACCCTAACCCTAACCCTGAGCCGCATGCTGCTACGCAGCAGACCCTAACCGGCCAAGCAGCAAGTGAAAGCCGAGTCATGGCAGACGCTCTGCGGACATCTGGCGCGTGATTTTGGCGGTGCGGAATCGCGTTTGCGCCGTAAAAGTCCCGGCCCATATATACATAGACGCTGGCAGCCTTTCGAGGCGGCCATGGGTGGGTTCACAAGCGCAACCAGTTGCACGGTCTGACTGGATTGCAGAGCTCTGGGGGAGTGTGGAAGCTGCCAGGGGGTGGAACAGAGCGCAGCTGGGATGCTGCTGTGGACAAGATTGGGGCAAAGGGGATGCGAGGGAGGGAGGCAAGTCTGGCGTCGAGTGCGAGGGAGGGAGGTAAGTCTGGCGTCGAGTGCTTTGCTTGACTTGCTCATGTCGAGTGCTTCCCTTGACTCGCTCATGTCGAATGCTTTGCTCAACCGACTCTGCCTATATCTTTGCAGATCTACTTCGTCGACGTCGGATCATGGTCCTGGAGCGTGCCTACCAGGTAGGCCGTGACATTGGCGTGACTTCGACCGTCTTCCACGATGTCATTGATGGTATGCTTCGTCGCGATGCTCTGGCTGACAAAGCCAACAACAACGAGGCTAGTAGTCCATCGGGCTCAAGCCGTGGCAACAACAACAACAACGATGGCGGCGCTCCCCCAAGACGAGGCTGCAGTCGAGGCACTGGCCCTGTACCAGTGTCCCCTCGATTGGGCAACCCCTTTGCATCTCCTCTTGGTGCGCACGACTCGCGTGGTCGCTTCAGTCGTGGTGGCGGTCGTGGTCGCGGTCGTGGTCGCGGTCGTGGTCGCAGTTCAAGCTGACAAGACTTGGCGCCCCCATCGTTGTGAACTGAAAATCAGCCGCCCCCATCGCTGTGAACTGAAAATCAGCCAAGACCCTCGCTCACGCGCGCGCTGTCGCACATGTAGCTATCCATCCACCAACTTGAGACCTTGCTGTCGATGCGCCACGTAATCAAAAAGTCTTAAAGTTGCCAGTCTTGAAGTCACGAGTTGCCACGTCATCGCGCGAACGGTCTCAAAATTCAGACCAAGCGAAGCGAGCATCGCGGCGTGATGATTCGTGATTCGAGCTTCGCACGCAATGACCCGCCGCTCGGCAGCTTCTATTCGGAGACGCTTGCGGTTAGTATTCGGAGACAATGGCAGCATATATATATATATATATATATGTGGACGTACCGCGCATCTCCGCATGAAATTCGAAATCACATCGCGCGGGCAGGCGCGCGGTACCAAAATCACGTGACCGCGTGCAGAAAGAATCAAAATCCGAAGCAACGTCGACATCGCGAGGATGGGACGAGTCATCGATGACGCACCAACGACCATCACACTGCGCTCACTCG